TGATCCTTCTACCTCAGCCTCCCAAGTAGCCAGGAGGACTACAGGTGTTGCCACCACACCTGGTTAATTTTTTAATTTTTAACTTTTTGTAGGGACAAGGTTTCCCTTCATTGCCCAAACTCCTGGGCTCAAGCAATCCACCTACCTCGGCCTCCCAAGGTGCTGGGATTACAGGTGTGAGCCACACCTGTCCTCATTTCTTAAATATCTCTAGAATTACTCCTCTCCATCTCCACTGCTGCTGCTCTAATAAGGACCATGGGTAAGATCAGTGAGTGCTTTCTTGTTGTAAACACTTGGGATGCATTCCATTTGGGCTGATCTCCACTTTGTAGATGAGGCAACGGAAGCTGGTAGAGGTTGAATAACTTGCCAGGTCTCACCCTATTTAGAATACAGAGGACTTGGGCTCCACAGAGAGGCAGCCCTGCCTCCAAAGCCTTTGTATCAAGCCAGTGCCCAGCGGCCATTCAGTGCAGGCAGCTGTCACTTCTCACTTGGACTTCCACGGCAGCCTCCCAACTGGTGTTCCTGACTCTAATCTGTCCTCTATACTGCTGTCAGAGGGATTTTTCTAGAACACAAAGTGGGTCACGGCATTTCTCTGCTTACACCTTTCAATGGTTTCCCTCTTGCCCTCGAGATAAAGACTTTTTTTTTTTTAGTTGGGGTCTTACTCTGTTGCCCAGGCTGCGGTACAGTGACACAATCACAGCTCACTGCAGCCTCTACTTCCTGGGTTCAGGCGATCTTTTTTTTTTGAGTTGGAGTCTCACTCTGTCGCCCAGACTGGAGTGCAGTGGCCGCTGCCGGCCACCGCAGCCTCGACCTGCTGGGCTCTGGCGATCCTTCCACCTCAGCCTTCCAAGTAGCTGGAACTACAGGCGTGCGCTACCACGCCCGGCTATCAGGTGATCTTGAGATGAAATCTAACTGTTCTCAGTAGATTAAATAAAGTCCTTTGCAAATTGGCCCCGGTTAACTTGGCGGTATAGCATGGGGTTCTCTGTGGAGGCATTTTGGAAATGTGGTTTTCTGTCTATCACAATGGTGAGGATGTGCCACTGGCATTTGATGGGCAGGGTTGAGGGATGCTGCAGTAGTGCACACAACCAAGGATTATCCTGGGTTCCACATGCCTCTTGAATGTCCTACTGGGCACTCTATGTGAAAAAATCTACTTAAAATGATCTGGGCCTGGAATTAATCTCCACTAACTCTACATACAAGGGAGAAGGGAACAGGTTTATTTCTGGTTCACCCATACTTTGAGGATGCTGTCCTTTGGGTCTCATCTTTATGGAGGGAAACTGTCCCATTAAATTATCCCTGTTTGGAAGGCTGAGATGGAAGGATTACCTGAGCCTAGCAGGTTGAGGATGCGGTGGCTGTGAGTGTGCCACTGCCTTCTAGCCTGGGCAACAGAGTGAGAAGCTGAGTCAAAAAAAAAAAAAGCCCCTGTTGAGGAGGTTTTGGGTTGTTTTCTTTTCTCATGAGCCACTGACAAAATGTCAATTTCACCTAGTTAGGCGAGTGCCCTCAGAGCAAAAGCTTGCTGTAAGCATTCCCCTGAGCTCTCTCTGCGTCCCCTGCCTTCACTTACTTTGTTTTGCCCTGAAAATTCCCTATTTTTTCAACAGCTCATCAAAGCATTTAAGATCTTTTTTTTTCTCTTTTAATTTTTTTATTTTAATGATGTGGGGTACAATTACATTTAAGATCTTAAAAAATGTTTTGTCCAGGATTTTTAGTTGATTTTAGGGAAACAGTCTTTCAGGTACTTAGCCTAGCAAAGGACAACACAAATATGAGATATTTTTGCACACTTTATTTATTTTTTTGAGTCGGAGTCTCACTCTGTCACCCAGGCTGGAGTGCAGTAGCATGATCACGGCTCACCGCAGCTTCGACCTGTGGGTTCCAGCGATCCTTCTGCCTCAGCCTCCCGAGTAGCTGGGACTACAGTGGCACACTACCACATTTGGCTAATTTTCAAAAATTTTTTGTAGAGACGAAATCTTGCTATGTTGCCTAGGTTGATTTAGAACTCCTGGGCTCAAGCAATCCTCTCATCTTTGCCTCCCAAAGTGCTGGAATTACAATCGTCAGCCACCACAATCAGCTTTTATTTTTATTTTTTGCATGTATTTAATATAACCTGTCTTTTTAGGAATGCAATGACAACGTAAATTGTTTTGTATTGTTCAGAACTTTACCAAGATTTGCTCACCATTTTGGAAAATTACACCACCAATGGCAATGTTGTCCAATGCAATACTCTTGGGTCAGTCTGCATTTATCCCTGCCACATTCTTAGTGTTTCTATGTATGGTGCAAGTATCTGACTACTTTATCGTATTTTCCAGATCACTTGCATACCTAAATGTCTTTCTCTTATTTATCATTTTTACGGTCAGGACATTATATATATATATATATTTTTTTGTTTGTTTGTTTTGAGTTGGAGTCTCACTCTGTCACCCAGACTGGAGTGCAGTGGCCGCTCCCAGCCACTGCAGCCTCGACCTGCTGGACTCTGGCGATCCTTCTGCCTCAGCCTTCCAAGTAACTGGAACTACCGGCGTGCGCTACCACGTCTGGCTAATTTTTGACTTATTGTAGAGATGAGGTCTCTCCAAGTTGCCCAGACGGGTCTTGAACCCACGGGCTCAGGCAATCCACTCACCTCAGCCTCTCAAAGTGCTGGAATTACAGGCTGAGCCACCAAGCCCCGGCTTATATATATACTTCAAAGTCATGTATCCAGGTAGGTTATATTATCTGGTAATTTTACTTCAGGAGAGGAGAGTTGCAAATCTTTGTTATAAGAGACATTGGGGGTCAGGGCCCCCGCCCCTATAGAGGGAGGGAGGAGGGGAAGGGCAGGAGAAGAGTTTGAAGAACTGGGATGCTCTGGAAAGGGGTTTAGACCTACCATCTCCCTGGCCCAGTCACCTCACCTTCAGGCATGTAGGATGTAGATGCTTGGACATCTTGACCTTTGTGATCACTCACCCTATGCCTGGAACGTGTCACCTGCCTTCTCTGACTAGTAATACAATTCTACTCATCATTCAAGACCTAGCTCCAAACGATTTGCAAAACCTTCTCCCATTCTTTTTTTTTTTTTTGAGTTGGAGTCTCACTCTGTCGCCCAGACTGGAGTGCAGTGGCCGCTCCCGGTCACCACAGCCTCGACCTGCTGGGCTCCGGCGATCCTTCTGCCTCAGCCTTCCAAGTAGCTGGAACTACAGGTGCGTGCTACCACACCCGGCTAATTTTTGACTTATTGTAGAGATGAGGTCTCTCCAAGTTGCCCAGACGGGTCTCGAGCCCACGGGCTCAGGCAATCCACTCACCTCAGCCTCCCAAAGTGCTGGGATTACAGGCTGAGCCACCGAGCCCGGCTTTTCTCCCATTCTTTAGCAGGAATGAATCACTCCCTTGTCCGACGTCCCACAGCATACATGTCCCCATGGCACTAATCACATGCTGACTTGTATCTTAGGTGACTGTTTACATACCAATCTTCTCACCAGCACGGTGAGCTCCTGAGGGCAGAGGCTCTGTCTTAGTCACTTCTGTAGCCATCTCCTGGTGCCTAGCACGGTATCTGGCTCACAGCAGATACTCAATGTGACATTTACTTGACTAGTGGGTGGAGCCCAGCACTACTCAGGGCAGAGCAGAAGGAAAACAAAAATAATAACAACTTATGGTTTATCGCGTTTTCCCATTCATTGCCTGATTCGAGCCTTCCAACAACCTGAGACAGACCAGACAGGCACCCTAAGACCCATTTTACAGATAGGGTAGCTGAGGTCCAAGGGCACACAGCTTGTAAGTAATGGGGACCAAGTTCCAACCCTGTGCCCTTGCTTCGGATTCGGCGCTAGGAATGGAGTTGACCCAAAGAGCATTTTGAGAATATGTGGGTGGCAATGGGGTTGGCCGCAATGGCAAAGCGCTTTTGCGGGTGGACTAGGGAGAGATCCTTAGCCGTCATGGAGTTAACAGAGGTGATTTCTCTCCTTGGTTCAAGCAGCTGGAGGAGCCTGCAGCACCATCCTCCCGCCCTGGAAGCTGGAGGAACCCTTCGGCCTGCAAAAGAAAGGACGGGTGTTTGGGTCAGGTGGCTGAAATGACGTAAACGGTGACTTCTTAGCAGAGGCCGCCTCTCTGTTGCTATGACAACCAGAGCTTGATTACTTGCCCCTCGCAAGGTTGGCTGAGGCGGGTTTAGTTGACTCGAGATTAGGGAAGGACATTTATGCAGGAGGGTGTGTGTGTGTCCGTGCGGCGGAAGAAAGACGAAAAAGTAAGACATCCAAGAATGACTGTTTAGCTCCGTGGCTCTCCACCTTGGCAACGCCATAGAATCACCTGCGCAATTTTCCCGATGCCTAGGCGGCACCCTAGAGTTAAACCAGAATCTTCAGGGGTGGAACTCAGGCGTCACTAGTTATTTAAATCTTCTCAAGTGACTCCAACTGCAGCCAAAGTTGCAAACCCCGCTCGGGGCAGGTAACCGGAATTCTTGCGACCTTCCCAAGATGGCGGCCGGCCCGACCGCTTCCGCCTTTACGTGCGCCGCCGGCGGTGGGGGCGCGAGCCTTCCCGGGGCGCATGCGCCTGGCGTCCCTTTGCTGCCTGTTCCCTCCTCCTCTTTCCCCCGCCTCCATTTTGTTCGCGAACGCTGGGGACGGTGGGAGCAGATCCATTTCCGGGTTGGCAAAAGGGGCGGCGGCGGCAGCGGCGAGAAAGAGAGCTTGCCGGGGGGCGAGCGGGACCGGACGA